ATCGGAGTAATACTTTGTGTTCAGGAATCCAATACTGGGCTGGGCCACGATTGCTACTTGTGAAGTGCCTCCTGCTGAGTTGGCTATTGTTTCTACACGGAGAGTGCGGGCATAGTCCTTCTTGAGCACCGAGCGGTTCAAGTTATTCTTGTGGTCTGTTGCGGTGGTCATTACGAAAAGCCCATCGGCAAATCCGGCATTGTTGGGGAAGGGGGAGAGTACCTCTGACACAAGCGTCTCTAGGTCTGTCGCTACTAGCCCATTAATTCTAGCATTAGTGTCCCAAAGCACGAATTGGAACCCTGGTGGCCGGTCTGGGAGTCCTCCAGAGGCAAAACTTCCCAGTTCCCACATATCGGTGATGTGTCTGCAGAGATCAGGGTATCTAACTGCAACTACGGCGTGGTATGTCACAGGGCTAACTCTTGAGCTGGACGGGAGCATCAATCCCCAAGCATGGATGTCGCTCACTCCGGCGGTCTGAGAGTTTAAAACTGCTTGTATGTCGCCGGCCATGGGCAGGAGGGTAGCGGCATGCTGCAAGATCCAGGCAAGGCGCACCAGGGACCGCGGAAAGTTGACAGTTGTGCCTGCTAGTAGTTCTGCGTCCACGAATGTGGAGGGTTGTCTCTGCGCTAGTGGCTGGGCGGCTTCGAATTGTGCTCTCAGGCCTGGAAGAACGGTGTTGGCTGCCTTGAGGTCTTCCGTAGCTTGTGGCGAGAGTTGGCTTGTCCATAGCTGACCTAACGTGTGCTGGCCTCGGCGGAGGATTTGGCTGAGGGTAGTTAGACCTTCATTGGATGAGCCGTCAAACAGTCGAATCATTGCATCTGCTAAGTTAGATGGCATATAATAATTTCGGTCGCTTCGCAGCCCATGCTTTTTGGATAAGAGGAGTTGTCGGGATCGTTTGGCATTGGGGGCTGCTCGAGCAATACCTCCTGGCGTCTGCTCTGAGTCTCCCGTCACAGGACTAGGGGTTGTTGTCTCATCAGGCTGATGACTGCAATTTCCCGGTCAGTGCCATATTGTTGCCCTTCATCAATGACCATGAGGGAAAGCTCTTGCATGAAGCCTCCTAACGTGGACCATTGCATGGTGAGATCCTGAGCTACCGTACCTCCTGTAGCTAACACTAGCTGGCACTTGTTCAGCATTTGCCTTCTTTCTCTGGGATGAATATCGAATTTGGTGTGGGAGTAACTGCTCTTGTTTCGTTCTTGGTCCCCTACGAACCTGCCTATGCGCCCAAACACCCCCGACGGGGGGGTCGAGCCATAGGAGCAGGTCAGCAAAGGATCGAGTGCCTGAGTTTTCCTTGCATATGAACAATATCTTAAGGCTATTGGTGGTGTCGATTTCGATCAGTGCGAGGATGAGGACTGCCATCGATTTTGACTTGCCTGCACCAAAGAGTCCTTGAATGCACAGGTCTAATCGATTGGTGAGTAATGCCATTGTCACTGCACAAAGCGTGCCCAAGACATGTCCATCTAGTTCTGCTGCAAAGGAGAGTGCCGTTGTGCGGGTCCATTGATGGGGTTCGCCCTCTACATGATATGGGATCAGAACCAGGCGGAGCAACTGCCCGCACAAATGTAGCAAATGTGATCGTTTGTTGCCATCCATTCCTTCAACTGCTGTTTGGACATTATAGATGCCTAATCCAAGGTGGTATCTGCAGGGGGGAGTCTGCGCGACAGCAGTCACCTCTCTGGTGGGCTTGGTACATCCAAACATCCACATAGTATGGAGGAAAAAGGTGCCTGGGAGTGGGCCTCCGCTCCCCTGGACGGTAGCATCAATGGGTTCCAGGCTTTGGCCAGAGGCAACATACCAGTCTTGAAGGGCCAGGAATTGTTCATGAGCGAAGAACTCGATGGCAGGCCCTGAGAGAAAGGCGACTTCGATGAATCTGGGGTTACACTGCCTGTGTATTCGGGCAGCAGGTAATTCATCCTTGTTTTTGGATGTTTTTGGCGTGATGGCAAGGACTAGACCAAAAAGGACATGCAGGTTTCTGACATCGCCCGCTGGAGCATCTGTGGTTCCTACCATTGCGACGAATCTTCCCGTGCCTATGGGGCTAACTTTGTGGTGATGTGCATCACTTGCCAAGAGGCTGAAGACGTCTGTTTGACCTAGGCTCGGGTGTCGGAACGCAAATGCATCCTGTCCTCCTTTAACTTTCCAGTGACCAAACTCACTGCCTTTGAACAGAAATTCAAATGCAATTGTTTGCCATGGCTCCCGAGTTGGTCCAGCGCTTTGCATTGTCAGCCCCGTCTCATTGTATCCTTCGTTGGGGCTAAGCATCGGCAGATAGTAATCCAACATATAGACCGCAATGGGCAGTTGTAGGGTGCCAAGGAAGTGCTGAACCATAGTTTTATACGTGAGCAATTTGGCTCTGGCTGCAATGCTGACTGTTGCCAATGAGGCTAGATATTGGGTTGCCTCTTGTTCCGTTTGCACCTGTGGGTTTTGGATGGCCACATGGTTGACTAGTGCCTGTGTTGTAGTCTCTGGTACCTCGCACATGATTGCTAACTCCCGTAGGAGACGTTTGGCTGCCTGTGGGAGTTCAAAGCTGCACCATGATATCAGCCGCAGGGGGGCTTGTGAGTAGACTTGAAAGGGAAGAACCCCTGGGATACTCTCCAGTTGCGCCATATCTGGTCGTCCCTCTGGAAGGGCAACTCGTGTCCAGTGCGGGTAGTTGTGCTGGGCAGTGCCTAGGTATGCCCGCCACCCTGTAATGTGCGTGATTGTGAACCCCTGTAATTGAAGCAGTCTTATGTCTTGATTGGACGGGTTCCAAACGCACAATCGGTCATCTGCATGGTGGATGAGGCGTACCTTTCGGTGATGGGACAGTCTGTGTGTCGTGAGAAGCGATGGTGGCATAGCAATGGCTGCTAAGACCGTTTTGCCTTCAATGTCCGGGAATTCGGCGAGGATGGTTTCCCATACCATTCCTGCATACGAGCCCGCGCTGTGCCCTCGTATGAATAGGGAGCCAATCATGTAACCTGTGAGTTTGAGATATTCCACCGAACGGATTTCGGGGGGCAGGCACACTCCGACCAATGGGTGCGAAACCAGCAGTTTGGTGAAGAGTCGCAAGCCATGCTTGTATCCTGGCCATGGCGGTTTCCTATGAGCCGGGATAATGGGGCAGAACCGAAGCAGCTTCATGGCACGGCTAATGATCTGTGCTTGCAGTTGATGGGCATCGGGCACTCCAAGTACACGGCACCAGGTGTGGGTTCCGATTGGGAACATGGCTATATGCAGTAACAAGTATTCTTGTGTGTGGGCGGTTCCTGCAATTGTGCCAGCTCTTGCATTCCAATCATCCTGCTTGCTGAGAGATGGTCCGTACACATGCGCCTCTTTTCTGCAAGCCAGCAGTACATCCCACTCTTCGTCGAGTTCTCCTCCACCCAATCCTGTGCACTGAACATCCAGGGACCCTGGGTCAGTGGGATTGAGTTGCCAGGCAGTGTTATCCATGATAATGATCTTCCAATCAGTGTATTGGGGGTCGGCATGGCTGGCAAGGACTTCGTTAATGGCAAGTTCTGCATTGCTAGGGTCGAGCCCCAGTCGTTGTTGCAGTGCTTCAAGAAGAGGGAGAATTTCGGCAGTGGGCAGTTGGAGGCTAGCTTGTTGTCCGCAGAAGACTTGGGCAGTCTGGCAGGTTTGAGGCCAGGGTACGTGGTTGCTGTTGTGATTGGGGAGTTCCACTGGCGTCCAGAGACTCTGTAGCAGCAATACCTGCGTCTTGGTCAGGCTGCGCTGTTGTGAGACGTGTGGTTTGGCTACTAGTCTACTTCCTCTGGCAAAATCGCAGCCTGTGGGGTGCGTCCATAACGGAGGTGCTTCGTCAACCCCTATGAGCGAGACGGCAAGTGGTTGCAGTCCTTTACTTTGCCACTGCTGGAGCTTTTGTCCGAGACCGACTTTGCTTCCATGGAAGGCATGTACGATGGGTGGCAGGCTGTACCCTTTATCTAGCTCTTTGCTCTGGAATATCTTATCCCCTGGGAGGCAGAGTACGGGGAAGTTGGCCGGGAAGACAGACATGGGGGAGAGTGCTCCCTGTTCGAAGATGGGACGAGCCCAGGTGAGGAAGGGTGGGGTTCGCTCGACAAAATCCGGCCGTAAGTAGCGACCATCACCGTGGCGCGGCCATTCCCCTTGCTCAGGGATAGGGAATGCAATGATTCCAGCCCATTCACCTAGCATTGCCCATGCATGCGTCCAGTCTAGTGGGGTTCTAGCCTTGCATCCAATTAAAGGGGTAAGAACCAGTCCGCCCCTAATCGCATCCGGCGCAGACTAGCAGCACCTGGCGACAAAAGGTCAATGGTTTCCCCCAAGTCGCGGGGCATCAACTTCTCAATCAATTCATCAAAATGACCATCCGTAGGAACTGCAAAACCCAGGAGTGCCACCGAACGATATCCCAAATGGTCCAGGTTGGCTACCACCGGAGCTGGTACGGCACAATCCCCCAAGAGCTTCTTCAAAGCCAGAGGGTCATCCAGAGCCAGTTGGGCCATCGTGTGACAGCTAAATAAAAGAAGGTTGAGTGAACTATCCATGCCAAAAACATTGCAACACATGTGTATCTGCAATCGCAAAATTGCGGTTGGATAACACCAAATGCAATGCCAAACAACACACAAATCGTGCGAGCTGTGCTGAGAGCCACAAACATGCATGTCAATCAGTGGATGAACCATGACAGCGGTCACATGAGTGCACCACATGAGGACATGCAAAATGGATGAACTTCCCAGCATGGCATTGAAAAACTGCACAGCGGTGATGTCATGCCAAATAAAACTTAAATGCACAATCCGTGGAATGTTGGCTGCCAGCGGGCATCACCTATTTTCCAAGGAAAGCCAGCCGAGAGGTCAAATGAGATACAAAAATCCACAGATACCACTGCAAAAGTGGAGTCCGGACCACACTACAGCAAAACAGGCCTAGGGCCCAGGCAGTGGCGAGATGCGGGCAATGTGCACCCCTACCAGATCGTGTAGATCCCGTGTGCCATCAGCAGCGTGACGAATGGTGCCCCAGACTGCATGCTGTCCTTTTTCTGCCAAATCATCAGCAAAATCATCAAGGAGTAGCGCTGCAGCATACAATTCGGACTGCCACAACACTGCGGTGTCATGGGAAAGGTCAGCAATGCTGTCCAAGACGGCTTTCGATGGCCTGTGGTAATCCCAGGAGCGGTAAGTGATTTCCTCCAGTCGAGCGACTTCAGACTGGAGCCCAACAACCGTCCTAGCCAGGACACAGGCCATTTTTGGCATCCATGACCAGGATCCATGAACCGAAAGGAGCTGGCATGCTCGGTTCAAGGCCTCCTTGGCGTTCTCACAACGCTGCAGCGCCTTTTCCCCTTGGGGCGCCAACCAAGCCAGCAAAAAGGTAACCGCCTGAGCGATCATTTCCGTAGAGCGGCTATTGAATGTCACCACAGAGCCAGCGGGCATGGCGACACACAGGCTGGGCATGAAATAAAATTCGAAATGTCAATGAAAAACGTGGAGACCTGACCAAATGTCTGAAGCTGGCATGGAAAGAAACCTGTAAAGCATGACGCGGTCAACTGTGGCGGTCCTCCAAACCTAAAGCCAAGCATCAGAATCCCAAGGTTGACAAAATAAAATCATGTGAAAATGAAATCAGCATGGTTTGACATGTCATGATCAAACAGCGGTGATGATCAAGCATCGAAATGTCAAGACAAATTGATTTGAAATGAAAGGATCTGCACGAAAATCGGAAACAAACACTGAGCAAAATTCACTGCAGCAGCGGCTGTTTTCTGCGTTCAGGCAACATGTGACATGATCTTGGCACATGCCCGTCGCAGGCATAATCTGGCTCCAACCGGCAAGCAATGGGTGAATTGTAAGTCACCTGAAATTGCATTGGGGCGTGCCCCACATCCAGTTCTGTAGGCCTGCAAAGTGGTGTCTTCATAGCACCGTGCACGGTCCAAGCTGTCACATTGGATTGCCAGATGGGCAACTTTTGTAATCGGGTTCACCAAGAAAACCATTTCTTCTGGGGCCTCAGCAAGCTTCTCAGCAATGTTGGAAGGAAAGTCTTCTTCCATGGCTGACTCTTCGGATGCTTCAGAGTCCTCTGCATCAGATGGAGCCTGGGGATCATCAGGTTCCTCGGCACGCTCCGGCATCTGGTCAGTCACAGCTGGTTGAGGTTCCACTTGAAATTGTAAAGGTTGCCAGGGAGGCAAAGTGATCGCAAAATCAGGAAGTGAAGGTGACCCTCCCCGCAGCATCGGCCGAAGTGGCCTGAAGCCTTCTGCAATGCGTTGAGCAACAGTGCCCTGAAGTACCAACGCTGGTAGGGTGTCATCCCTGCTATATAAGGACACAGAGCCATGAATCGAACTCCTGTGGTGGCCCTGGAGTTGTCTTTGCTCCAGGGGCAATTGCAGTTGTTGGGCCCAGCAAAGCAATGTTGTTTTACGGGCAGGTACCTGGTGAGCTTCATGACACTTGCACAGCCAATAACGCAGCAACTGCAGACCTCTGTCACGTGGCATCGGGCGAAGGAAAACTGGCTTCAGCATGTCTGGGCCCACTTCTGTCAGCAGGAAGTCCACTTTGAATGTGGGGAAGCGCTGCTGGGTGTCATGCAACGCCTGTTGAACCACATTGAGCCACACCTGAGCCCATGCCACCTGACCGTGACGTCCCAGAAGTCCAAAAGCGAAACAGGCTATAGGCATACCCCTGTTTGTCGTCTTGGTGTGGGATGCCAAAGCAAACATGGCATGCTGTTGTATTGTAAGCGTCTGGGGGTCCACCCACAATGCATCCGACCAACGCAAGCTGCTCCAGATCAAGAAAAGCAAGGACCCCAACTGTAAAACATCGCATGCAGATGTTGTTTTGGCAAGTACCATCTTTTCGAGAAAAACCACAAACGACAATGGCAGCGGGCCCGACTCACGCTTCTCCCTGATGATAGCCGAGTGCAGATAGGCCTTGCACACGGATTGCTGCAGGGCCTGAAACAAGTCATCCAGTTGTGCATATCTGGCCATCCATGTCAATCCCTTATGGTATGCAGTGGCCACACCTAAAGGTCCATGTGCATGCTCTGCCAAGAAATCGGCCAAGATCGCGGCATTCGGCTGAAATGGGCACACTGTCAACTGACGTGCAAAATCATGCCACCTTTTCCAAATGCGAAAATAAGATTGCAGAGTGGTTGGAGCAAACTTGGAGAGCACACGAAGTCTGTGTTCTTCCACATGGTTGGACATGGCAGTTGAGTGCACCAAACCACTAGCACATCCCATTTCCTGTAAAATATCAAGCCACTGTTGATTGAGCGCAAGCTTAGCCTCAGACCATGCCTGTCGCATTGATGGCACAGGTCCCTGTTGTAGCTGGGTCGACAATGGGGTCCGCACCACTGGCATGTCTGAGCACATCACCCTAGAGGAAAAAGTCACTGGAGATGCCGACTTCTGAGGTTGAACTGCTAGAGGAACATTGGATTCCAATGAAGTCCTTGACTTACGAACAGCAGGAGGTGGTTTCCATAACAAGGCAGCTGGCTGAAACTCTGGTGTATGAAAAACACGCGTCCGTCTCTGAGGTGGCTGCCATGGTGCCAAGGTTGAAGAGCCAAAAAGACTTGACCTACGTCCTGCTGTTGCCAATGGGTCCAATGATCCTCCAGGTTGGTAATTAAAATCATAACTCCCAAATTCCGTCCAGTTGAAAAGCAACATCTTGATTTGATTCAGCTGCAAAAAGATCCACAGGGTCAATTGAGCTCAGGGCATCCTGGTCCGGCCAAGACAATGCCTCAGGGGAATCCGCTCCACCTGTAACCAGTTCGAAAGAACCTGTGGATAAGCCATGCTGCGAATCTGGAGCAGGTGGTGTTTCGAGTGCCGCAGGAACATGTCTTCGAAACCGTTTGACAACACACACCGGTGCATCAATAGAATTCATAAATCCAAGACAGCACAAGAAAAACGTCGTTCCAATCATGCCATAGGAGTCAAAAACAGGGTACAAAACTGGCAATGAAAATGCTCATCCCAAAACCTGTCGAACCATGGCCAAATGAAAGGAAAACCAAGTAGAACAGCGGTCTACACACCACCCCAACTTGACCCAAAATGGCAGCCATAAACCGGATCACCCTTGCAAAACACAAAAAACCACGAAACAACAAAGGCAGGTTTCAGGTTAGCGAAAACGTGTTTTGCAAAAACAGAGGCCGGTTTCATGCTAGTGAACAAAACCGATCAAGCCCGAGTACAGGGCGGGCTCTGGTGGCGCACCAGGTTCTCAGCTGATGCCGTGGACGCCGCGGCTCTCGGCTCTTTGCGTGGCAGGCGTGGCACTTGGTGACATGGAGCGTCACTTTGCGTGGAAGGCGTGGCACTTGGTCACATCCACATTCGTTTCACACGGCAGGCGTCACATCCACCTTCGTTTCACATGGCAGGCGTTGCACTTAATTGGTCACATCCACATTCGTTTCACGTGGCGGCAGGCGTGGCACTTAGGGCACTCAGCGGGCTCTGGTGGCGCACCGGGTTCTCAGCTGACGCCGTGGACGCCGCGGCTCTCCGCTCTTTGCGTGGCAGGCGTGGCACTTGGTGACATCCACCTTCACTTTGCGTGGAAGGCGTCGCACTAGGTGACAGGCGTGGCACTTGGCAACATCCACCTTCGTTTCACGTAGCAGGTGTGGCACTTGCTCACATCCACATTCGTTTCACGTGGCAGGCGTGGCACTTAGGGCACTCAGCGGGCTCTGGTGGCGCACCGGGTTCTCAGCTGACGCCATGGAGGCCGCGGCTCTCCGCTCTTTGCGTGGCCCACCGTGGCACTTGGTGACATCCACCTTCACTTTGCGTGGCAGGCGTGGCACTAGGTGACAGGCGTGGCACTTGGCAACATCCACCTTCGTTTCACGTAGCAGGTGTGGCACTTGCTCACATCCACATTCGTTTCACGTGGCAGGCGTGGCACTTAGGGCACTCAGCGGGCTCTGGTGGCGCACCGTGTTCTCAGCTGACGCCGTGGTGGCACTTGGTCACATCCACATTCGTTTCGCACTTGAAGATATCCACCTTCGTTCCACGTGGCAGGCGTGGCACTTGGTCACATCCACATTTGTTTCACGTGGCAGGCGTGGCACTTACGGCACTGGGCGGGCTCTGGTGGCGCACCGGGTTCTCAGCTGACGGCGTGGACGCCGCGGCTGTTTGCGTGGCAGGCGTGCAATGGCACTTGGCGACATCGAGCGTCACTTTGCGTGGCAGGCGTGGCACTTGGTCACATCCACATTCGTTTCACGTGGCAGGCATGGCACTTTCCGCACTGGGCGAGCTTTGGTGGCGCACTGGGTTCTCAGCTGACGCCTTCGACGCCACAACTCTTTGCGTGGCAAGCGTTTCACTGGGTCACATCCACATTCATTTCGCACTTGCAGATATCCACCTTCGTTTCACGTGGCAGGCGTGGCAATTGGTCACATCCACATTCATTTCACGTGGCAAGTGTGGCACTTAATGGACCTGGGCGGGCTCTGGTGGCGCACCGGGGTCTCAGCTGACGCCGTGGACGCCGCGCCTCTTTGCGTGGCAGGCGTGGCACTTGGAGACATCCACCTTCACTTTGCGTGGAAGGCATGGCACTACGTGACAGGCGTGGCACTTGGCGATCTACCTTCGTTTCATGTGGCAGGCGTGGCACTTGGTCACATCCACATTCGTTTCTGTGGCACTTACGGCCCTGGGAGGGCTCTGGTGGCGCACCGGGTTCTCAGCTGACGCCGTGGACACCGCGGCAATTTGCGTGGCAGGCGTGGCACTTGGTGACATCCGCCTTCACTTTGTGTGGCAGGCATGGCACTAAGGTGACAGGCGTGGCACTTGGCGACATCCACCTTCGTTTCACGTAGCAGGTGTGGCACTTGCTCACATCCACATTCGTTTCACGTGGCAGGCGTGGCACTTACGGCAGGAGGCGCACCGGGTTCTCAGCTGACGCCGTGGACGCCGCGGCTCTCGGCTCTTTGCGTGGCAGGCGTGGCACTTGGTGACATCCACCTTCACTTTGCGTGGCAGGCGAGGCGTGGCACTTGGCAACATCCACCTTCGTTTCACGTGGCAGGCGTGGCACTTGGTGACATCCACCAACTCCGCAACACGAAGGCGTCACGGAGGGAAGGGGAGGAAACGGCAGAAAACCCCCTCCCCCCGATACAATGTGCCACACACCCCATTGGGCATCCGCAGGGCGGGTTGCTTTCTATTACTTTGTATTTCTCAAACGCCGGAAATGCATCCGCGGCCATTTTTTGGTGGTTTTTGGCATCCGCAGTGGTCCTTCGTAAGGGTTCTCCCGCATCCGCAGGGGCATCCGCAGGCATCCGCGCGTGCGTTGGCAGATATGTGAATCAAAATGGCTCGTTTTCCGGACCTTGC